ATAGAATTTTTGCTTTTGAATATATTTTATTTTAAGGCTACAAATGGCACTCCATAATTTTTAAGTCCAACTTAGAGTTAAGTTTGACTTAGAATCTTTGTGAAGCAGCACCCCCCCCCCCCCCCTGGTCCTCACCAACCTCTTGATCCGGGTTTGAGGGTGCTTGATATTAATTCAAAAGCAGTTGCTGTGATTTAATTCTGATGTAATGCCGAGTGCTGCTACATGTAGTTGAACTGTTCCATTTTTTTGGTCATCTTTTTATCTTTTACTCGTATAACGAAACTGTCTTGGCTTCGTAAAAGCAGCCAAGAATCCCTGCATTCCAAACGAATATAAAGCCCAATTGGTTTGGGTATTAAAGCTGATACTTATGCAGATTTTAGGAGATAAATAGTAATAATAATAATAGCCTAATAGTCCACTCCAAATTTCATTAAACCGAAACAGAAATTCTTTTTGCCCAATTAATCGTGAGCCCGGCAGCCACTGAGCAGCGCCAGATCGACGTTGCTCACAAATTTGCTTATAAATGCAAAAATAACTGAATATATAGATATACAAAAGAATGACCAACTTACTGAATGAATGAATGAATGGAAATAAATAAAGCTTTCTGTTTACCATTTTTCTGTTATGTAGGTTGTGGAAATGGCAAATACCTAGGAGTAAACAAGAACTTGCACATGGTAAGTGAATTACTGCGGTAGTTTTCTTTGTTGATATAAAGTAAAATATTCACTTGTAAGTGGGGTAAGTTTTCTCCACCATAGAGTAAAAGGGTAAGGGTGGGAGGAGGAGAGGAGGGAGAGAGAGGGGTGAGGGGAGGAGAGGGTGGGGAGGGAGAGAGAGAGAGAGAGAGAGAGAGAGAGAGGGGGGGAGGATAGGGAGGGGGAGAGAGAGAGAGAGAAAGAGCGGGAGAGAGAGAGAGGAATGAGAAGGGAGGGGGAAGAGAGAGAGAGAGAGAGAGAGAGGGGGGGGGGGGATATAGGGAGGGGAGAGAGAGAGAGAGAAAGAGCGGGAGAGAGAGAGAGGAATGAGAAGGGAGGGGGAAGAGAGAGAGAGAGAGAGAGAGAGAGGGGGGGGGGGAGGATAGGGAGGGGGAGAGAGAGAGAGAGAAAGAGCGGGAGAGAGAGAGAGGAATGAGAAGGGAGGGGGAAGAGAGAGAGGGAGAGAGAGAGAGAGAGAGGGGGGGGGGGGGGGCAAAGAGTAGAGAAGAGAGAAATATTATTTGTTATTTGACCTTCTGACTTAAACCAACAATAAACTTCAAACAAAACAAATGTGAAAAAAAATAATTATTTGCAACGTCTCTATTACTGTTTCTTACTTTGTATCGGATATCTTTGAAAAGCTAGTCTTCTCAGAAATTACCAAAATATACCCCCCCCCCCCTCCCTCCAAAAAAAAAATATTGCGAGTTATTTGTAGTTGAGCTGAAACTTCATATTTACTGTAGCTGGCTCAGGCATCCTGTAGCACAACCTCTAGCTTGTTTTAGAAAAAATGCTACATGCACATGTTAAACAAAGGATGCCAAATTATGTAACAATTTTTGTAAATTAATTAAATTTCCCAGGATACAATGAAATGGGTTACATGTTTGTATTTCTAAAAGCAATTATGATTGAACCTACATTCCTCTGCAAAAGAAAAGAATAGGTTCCTTCATAAAGTATAGAAAATACGTACTTTATCAAAACAATTTTTGGTAATTCGCCAAAAATTAGTAACATTGTCTCTGTAAGATGGCACATACATATATATACATTAATATATGCAGGTAATTTTCCTGCTTCAACTTACGCTGAATAATTCATACCCCTTTGACATAGACTATTGAAGTTTCTATTATTGATGTAAATGGGATGACTTTTTGTGTTATTGAAGTCATGATCCGTTGCTTTTTTCAATTTTCTAATTGCCAAACTGTAATTTGAGTAATTAGTAATAATTGTATTGTGAGTTAGTTTGAAATGAATGTTTGTCTGTTCAGGGAGAAGGCGAATACCTAATGATTGGTTTGATACAATTTGCCATCGATTTGTTGCTAGTGATGTCAGTAATGACCTTCACTTTACTGCCATATCGAGATGCGATGCAGTAAACAATATCAATAGGTATGTCTTCATCGGCTCGAGATCAAGTGCCAAATAGCCGGCTATATCTGAGACTCGACCTCGAAACTAGAAACTCGAACTCAAGAAATTAGCTCGAGATATTTTGCTCAGTGTTCCCGCATAGTGCGAGTCTTTGGGCTGGTGAAGACGCACTGGACAAATAGTGGGATATTTTGCAAACTAGCCCAAGATATCTTGGGATGATTATCTTGACAAAATATCACGCTAATTGCAACTGCGGGCTGATGATGACGCGAATTAGCTGGATAATTTGCGATCCAGATATTTTGCTCAGTTTTCCCGCATAGTGCGAGTCTTTGGGCTGGTGAAGATGCACTGGTCAAATATTGGGATATTTTGTAAACTAGCCCAAGATATCTAGGGATGATTATCTCAACAAAATATCACGCTAATTACAACTGCGGGCTGATGAAGATGCGAATTAGCTGGATAATTTGCGATCCAGATATTTTGCTCAGTTTTCCCGCATAGTGCGAGTCTTTGGGCTGGTGAAGATGCACTGGTCAAATATTGGGATATTTTGTAAACTAGCCCAAGATATCTTGGGATGATTATCTCGACAAAATATCACGCTAATTGCAACTGCGGGCTGATGAAGATGCGAATTAGCTGGATAATTTGCAATCTCGAGCTGATGAGAACACGCCTAATAGAATACCAGGGCAAAATGTTTCCAATTACTGGCAAGGGTTGTTAATTTGGCAATATTAGACTTACAAGGGGTGTGAATAACTTAGTTGTTAAAAGATAAAGTTGAGTTCTGGTCATGTGATTGCATTGTGAAAGAAACGTTGTGGAATCGATCAAAAAAGGTTGATCATCTAGCATATAAGTGTTGTTGTGTACTGCAAGGTTCTGGAATCATCAAAATGATAAGAAATTTGGCCCAGTCTTGGAAAAGTTACAAGCACTGTACACATAAAGATGTGTATGGGACTACATGAACATGTGGCGTGAAAATCTGTCCCGATTTTTATGATGTTACATGCCATATTTAGAATATTAAGGCATTTGAAGAGCCATGCTTTTCAGGGAACATTTTTTATCTGACATTCCTCCACAATTGTTATTCACCTCTTCCCAGAACTCAACCTTCTCTTTAACTGTACATGTGTCATAAGATATAGATGTATGAACATTTAATTGTTTCTGGCGGCTGTTTCTGTGTGGGTGGGCTCAGGCGCGTACACAGGGGGGGTGTTTGGGGGTTAAACCCCCCCCCCCCCTTTGGTAATTTTTTGTGTGTAAACCCCCCCTAAATTTCTCTAAACCCCCCCCCCCCCCCCCCTTTGGATTTTTTTTTTTTTATTAAAAAAAAAAAAAAAAAAAAAAAAAAAATTGCCATGGTTGACCTAAAAAAGCTGACCTTACCCCCCCCCCCCCCCAACGGAGCAAAATGTCAAATTTTCAAATTTCGAGACAAAAAAAAAAAAAAAATTTGTCCTCTTACCCCCCCCCCCCCCCCCCCCCCCCCCCCCCCCCCCCCCGCTTATTCAGCGGCTGGCTGAGTCGTTGCGAAATTTTCGGCCCAATTTATAAATGTTAAAACCCCCCCCCCCCTTGAAAAAATCCTGCGTACGCGCCTGCATATATATATATATATATATATATATATATATCGTCATGTGTATACATCCTCTCAATAACAAAGTGACACTTATATCCTCACATTTAAAGTCCGCATTAGTTCATGTATACATAGCCTAAATTGGTTTATTAAGCCTTGCAAGTGATGCAAACAAGTCATTTAAAAATACACCGCACACAAAATATATGAGTTAACAAACACAGCATAACCAGGAAAACGTTAAGTTGGTATAGCTCGAACTTATAAACCAGTACGATTGATTAAAAGACCTATCAAAATTATTGATGATTTAGTCCAAGGATATTTTCAAACACGCTCACAGCACTCTGAGCATTACTGAACACTGACTACAATTTTACTAGTACAACAACATCAACAAATCCAGAGCAATATCAATATCAGACCATAATAATAAATGGATTGTATATCACACACGAAAAATTGTTAAAAGTAAAGAAGAGTTCTACTTAATAGGTCAAAGAAATAAGTATGATTATCAAGTTCACCTTGTGGTTTTTTGGTACTGAATCTATACAAATTTCATAAGGAATTACTGTCTGGTTAATTATTCTGTCTTTTGCATCAATTCATGCGTTTGAATTGACATGATGTATACACATCAAGATCAACCAAGAATTTTTTTAAAAGATACTGCAAAATTAAGAGGAGAAAACAAATCAATTTGAACAATTTATCAAATTTAGACGAAAACAAAAATCCTCGTTCGACGTTTTCTTTAAAGTACCATGGGCTCATTATTAAAACGCGAATATAAACGAGGATACACAAAGTTAAATCCTTTAATATCATTTAAAGTCGGTCACGTGATATTCTTAAAGAATAAATATTGACCGAAACGGATACATTACGAGGCAGCGATATTAACAAGTACAATTTGCATATGGTAATAGGATGGCCGAATGGGTGAATTGTTGAATAAGTACGTACAATTTTTTATGTTTTAAATACAACTTTCAAAATAGCATCACAAGAAATGTAAGTAGGCCTAAATTGCTTAGGTAAATTTCTATAGTATAAGCGTTTTTATTCTTAAACTAGTCTCATAAAAGCAAAAAAAAACATTAAACGAAAGAGTGCTCTATATATACTTATTTAGATAAGCTCATAGTAACTGCATCCATCATATTGGGAGAAGTAACTAGAAAGAACGCTCGCTCTTGTTTCTTCATTCAGCTCGCATACTCCGTCTTTGTAATTGATGGACTTGCAACCAACTTCATGAATGCATTCTGCGGCGCAACGGAGCTTGGTTTTCGCTAGCACTGTCTTTATCACGTGATCAGTTAGACAGTGGCCAATCAGAGGGCGTCCTTTGTTGTCCTTAGCAAGGGAGAAGAAGCCTGGAGATTGGATGGTGGTTGTCGGTTTAACTATATTGTGAAGTGAAGATAAAGAGATAAACGACCATAACAGATATAAATACATTTATAACTACCGTTAACAACTAAATTATTCATAACGCTTGTAAATTTGATGTTTCAAAAAAAGTTTTTCGTTATCAAGAATAGTTAAATAAGGGCCTTTATTTGAATACTTTTAGATGTAAGCTTTATTTCTCAAGAAAGATAAATCAGGTCAAATGAAATTGTCACATACTTAAAAAATTACAAAACTTGGTAAGGGTATGAATAATTTAGTTGAAAATTGCATACATACATACATATATAACCTACATGGTACATTAAGTGGACATCATATCGTTATACTTTTATATTGTTGTTTTTGTTGTATTCTGTATTCTTTGTATTATTAAGCTATGTTTGTATTCTTTATTATGTATCATTATCATGACATGTACATGTGTTGTACTCTCATACCCCAGAAGGGGGTCGAATGAGTCAATAAATTCTATTCTATTCAATTCTATCATAAAAATCCTAACCCTAACCCTAAAACCTAACCTTAAAACCTAACCTTAAACCTAACCCTAACCCTAATGTCTACTTAATGACTCACTTTTTCACTCCAAATGTCCTTCCAAAAACGCCTTTAGTGAAATTACATATATAAAACAAATTGGGCCTTTTATGAGAAAAAAACGTAAAGAACGTTAAGAGGACACCATATTGTCCTCCCAATGACAATGTCTACTTAATGACTCACTTTTTCACTCCAAATGTCCCTCTAATGACGCCTATAATAAATATTTAGAGAAACATACTACCGTAATGAAACATGACATTACCTTCGCAAAGATTTCTATAAGATTGATCACAAAGAACGTGGAACAAACTGGAGAAGTAGTGAGATAAGGTGACGCAGTTGTAGGTGCTACTGGCGGGAATTTCGATGTCTGCCCACCACCAACCTTTAAGAAAGCGAGCCATAAACAAAAAAATACGAGGGAGAAGTGAATTTGTTTAGTGTAATGATATGGATATTCTCGTGTTTACGTTTTCCTCAAAGGTTCATTGACGTACATGTACAAGGCAAATTCCTGGTAGATTTCGCTAGAACTATGTTTACAAACATACATGGTGAATTCCTTGTATGCTATTTTTAACACCTGTTCCGAGACGTTGCGCTCTTAATTTTGGCTCTACTTTTTCGGCTTGGCCGATTGGATTAGGTGTCGCTGGGCGTGTCGCCACAGTTTACTTAAATTTAATTAGGCAAATTTAGGAAATAGATTTGTATTACAATTGGAAGGGTTTTTCCTTGTTGCCGGGTCTGTTCACACTATCGAAATAGTATGAGAGGGGAAGTGAGGATTACAGGTGTGTAATAGCCAGAAGCATGTGGGCTCGCTAGTGTGGACGGACATAGCAACATTTATCCCTTGTTATATTCCAGGGTTGTTGGGTCTCCGGGTGATTTGCATCTCTTGTTTGAGAGATTAGAATGTAAGAGACACAGGTGGGTGCGTGAAAGAAGTATGTGAGGAATAGAGATGCGGATCATCCGGAGCGCCTTATATCCGAGGGGGTAAATTCGCCAAGAAATATAGGACCTTTTAATACGGAAACTAATTATAAGTGGATTGATATTACGCAAAGCGTCTGTGTGACACGCCTCAATTTTTGGAAGGACGAGGCGTGTCAGTTCGGGGGGATAAAAACCGAGTTGCGTCTCTGGAGCGGGACCTCTCTTCCGTTACGATCGACATGAGTTGCTAATCTGTTTCGATTGGGTTGCCCAGCCCCAAACATGAACTTCGTGATTTATTAATTCTTCGTTTATTTTAATAAATCTTCAACTCCAATCAAGAATTTGTTTCAGTGACTTTGATTTATCTTCGTTTTCTACACTTCAAGAACTAAAGCTATACTTTAACATTTTCTGAGTCGGTACTAGGCGGGGCGGTTTTGGCCACCGGGCCGTCTCGCCGTGGATCGCTTCAATTGGTAGTACGGATGGGGTAAGACACTTGTTTATCACTTCAACCATTACCATTGAACTTCAAGATATATTAGCGACGTCAGCGGAGAGCTGCAGAGATTTTTGTTAGCTCACATCCGTCAACTAGTTATATGTGGATCTGTTGGGGTTGTCACGAGGACGGAGTCCAAGAACCCCTGGGCTTCGAACTAACTTTTTTTTTTGTCGGCCGCTCAGCATCGAAGAGTATTGAGAGGAGTGAAATTTTCTTCTGCTGGTGGTTTCCTGACGAGGGGGCCCAGGAGCTTATTTCCGCAGAGCTACAGCGCGACGAAGCGACGGTGGAAGCGTAGCTGGTGATTCTTTTATGCTGGGAAAACGGTAGTACTTTAGGGCCGCGTGGGTGTCATCTTGAAGGGGCTCGCTGCTTGTGTCAGCGGGGAGGTGATATCGTCACTTCATTCATGGTCGGCGGCACATGCCTTCAGTGTTGCATGCTTGCATCGTTCCGGTGAATTAGAAGGCCGCGGTGCCGGGAAACTAGGTACGTTCAGCTGGTCTCGTAGCTGGTCTACGGGTTTTCTGCGTAGCCTAACGGTTCGTCCTGTGATCTCCGTAGACGTGAAATCTTGCAGTCAACTACATCGACGCGACACAACATCATCGCCATCGAGAGGGACTACAAGACTGTGTATCTACGGCGATCTAAGGCGTGTTCAGACATCATCTAGGAGGGAGTATTTCTGAGGGTGACGGATGCAGGCAGCGGATTGACATCTCTGGTATGTCTTGAACTTAGAACACTTTATCTATATATGATAATTGATTCTATGCCTTGTTGCGTATGGCATTATATACAATTAGATACATCTTTTGATGTATACCATTATTCAGAACATTTAGTGTATTATCTGACGGCATAATTCATTAATTGACTGGTAAATTTATATAATCCTTGTAAACGAGAACAGTAGTGAAGGTGTGTTTTTTTCATATATACATATGGTAACTAAGAATATGGTTCTGGTTTCACTCTGGCTCGCCTACATGTAGTATACATCTCTTCCAAAAATTAAGGTAAGCAGTATTTAGGGGTTTTATACTATATATGGTAACCCGAGGTTGCACCCCTTGCCTTAATGTTCATATTAGACTAAGTATTTAATAATATTTACATTAGATAATAATTATGGCGGAAGAGTTGGTTAAAGATTTGGTAACGGGTTTTACCGAAGCTCTACAGGGTATCCGGATTACACCTACTGGTAGGACAACCGCTACGTTGGATAGATTTTCAGGGCAGGGTGGTATGTTATTAGAAGATTGGTTAGAAGAGGTGGACCTTTATTGTGAACAGTCACAAATTTCAGAGACCCAAAAGGTCAGTGTGATCAAGGCTCATTTGGAGGGGCCGGCACGTAAAGAGTTGCGATGTTATTCTGAACACTAGATACAAATCAAATAGTTACTATTTTGCAGAACCACTTTGGTAAGAGACAGACTGTACAGTCTCTGCAACAGGCCTTTTACGATCGTAATAATATCAATCCTCATCTGTTAAAGTACAATTAAATATTTGTAGTTCCCCTGTACGTGTGCATAGTGACAATCCTGACCAACAGTCGTTTGCAGAGCCTAGCTCTTCTGGCATATTTCCATCTTACACAAAAGATCAGTTAATCCAAATGCAGAAAGAAGACCCCGAACTGAAGTTTGTATGGGAGCGGTGGTCCCAAAATTGGGCACCCGGTGATGAATACTTCAAACATCCTTCAGAACCTGATAATGTTAAATCATGGTTGACTCATTGGTCTCGCCTTTCATTGAAAGATGGTTTGTTAGTAAGAAGAGTGCTAGACCCTGTATTTGGGGAGATATTCCAAGTTTTACTTCCTCAATGTTTACGTAAGAATGTGTTGGTAGGATGTCATGATGAATGGGGACATCAAGGTAGAAATAAGACCTATGAATTAATAAGATCTAGGGCCTTTTAGTATATATGTTGTATATGTTGGTTCCTAATTTTGATAAAGTAGGTATAGATCCAGTAGGGGAGAGTATATGTTGGTTCCTAATTTTGATAAAGTAGGTATAGATCCAGTAGGGGAGGATGTAGCAGGGCGAGCTGGAGATGATAATGTTAATGTTCCAGGGAATCAGGATGGTGCCATCCCAAGAAGGTCGCAAAGACAAACTAAGGGTAGACATTCTAACCCTTTTAATTTACCAAAATCAGTTTTGCGCTGATTATCTACAAATTTTGAGATATTCTATGAACAGTCGGATATTTCGTATTTTTATTGAAGGGACCGTAATATTGACGGTTAATTATCACGGTAATTAGTCGTTTACATCAAATTGGGGAGTTAATAATTTTAATTATCAAACTTTTACTGTTTTAGGGCTGGGCACCCGTCCTGATTTTATTTGGGGTCATTTATGGTTATGGTGATTTTTGCCTAATTACGTGTTGAGATTGGTTGTATATTCCATAGGTCTGCATATTACAAATTTTTATATTTTTTCCGGTTACACGTATCGTTGTCTATTCCAGTGTTCGGAGAATGTGCATGTATTATCACTAGTATATTTCAATTTTTAAGTAATTTCTGATTACATATGGATGTTTACAAGTGGCAGGAGAAGTCCCAACAACCGGTTGGAGGAGGTCTGGGGTATCCGGCTCTGACCGCCGGGGTTGTGACACTTCCCTAAGCTTCGCAAACAGTTTCAGGCTATAATTACAAGTAGTTGGAGACATGATAGTGGTAGGTTTCATAGTCTGCTGTAGGGAAATTTGGGCGTTTTTGTTAACCATGCAGGAATAGGACACTCGAGGAATTTATAATAGGTTTTTGGATTAAAATTTTAATTTTGTTATTGCCTCTTTAGGCAGGACCACATAATTGGTTAATTATGTGGATGAAGAGAGGAGGGAAAAAAAAGGAAAATTTTGGAGTTTGAGGGTTTGTTTAATTGACTATTGCGTTAAGGTTGTGCATTTACTTGCAAAATATTGTCATGCTGTTTTAATATGCAAAGGGTGTCATTAATGGGAGGTGATATTTCTAAGTATGTTTGAACTAGTGGGTATTTTTGTGAGTTGGATTACCAGTTTGATATGTGTGTTTATATATTGTAATTTGGAAGCCATGTTGGCTTTATATGATGTATATGAAGTTATTGTAGATGTTTTAGGGCTGGGCAGCCATGTACGTGTGTGTAACTTGGAGGGGAACGTATATATGACGAGAATTTCTATTTTTTTTTGTTGCGATCTTATGGGACAGATCGTTTCAGTAGGGGAGTTTGTAATGATATGGATATTCTCGTGTTTACGTTTTCCTCAAAGGTTCATTGACGTACATGTACAAGGCAAATTCCTGGTAGATTTCGCTAGAACTATGTTTACAAACATACATGGTGAATTCCTTGTATGCTATTTTTAACACCTGTTCCGAGACGTTGCGCTCTTAATTTTGGCTCTACTTTTTCGGCTTGGCCGATTGGATTAGGTGTCGCTGGGCGTGTCGCCACAGTTTACTTAAATTTAATTAGGCAAATTTAGGAAATAGATTTGTATTACAATTGGAAGGGTTTTTCCTTGTTGCCGGGTCTGTTCACACTATCGAAATAGTATGAGAGGGGAAGTGAGGATTACAGGTGTGTAATAGCCAGAAGCATGTGGGCTCGCTAGTGTGGACGGACATAGCAACATTTATCCCTTGTTATATTCCAGGGTTGTTGGGTCTCCGGGTGATTTGCATCTCTTGTTTGAGAGATTAGAATGTAAGAGACACAGGTGGGTGCGTGAAAGAAGTATGTGAGGAATAGAGATGCGGATCATCCGGAGCGCCTTATATCCGAGGGGGTAAATTCGCCAAGAAATATAGGACCTTTTAATACGGAAACTAATTATAAGTGGATTGATATTACGCAAAGCGTCTGTGTGACACGCCTCAATTTTTGGAAGGACGAGGCGTGTCAGTTCGGGGGGATAAAAACCGAGTTGCGTCTCTGGAGCGGGACCTCTCTTCCGTTACGATCGACATGAGTTGCTAATCTGTTTCGATTGGGTTGCCCAGCCCCAAAACATGAACTTCGTGATTTATTAATTCTTCGTTTATTTTAATAAATCTTCAACTCCAATCAAGAATTTGTTTCAGTGACTTTGATTTATCTTCGTTTTCTACACTTCAAGAACTAAAGCTATACTTTAACATTTTCTGAGTCGGTACTAGGCGGGGCGGTTTTGGCCACCGGGCCGTCTCGCCGTGGATCGCTTCATTAGCTTCAGACATTTTTGCACCGAGCTTTCCTTAACCCACTCCAAATAGTGATAACCATGCATACCCCGCAGTTGAAATAGAAATAAAAACATATCCAGAACTCCTTTCGATGGAGGTGTTACCCCTGTATTAAACAAATCGTAGGTCCATGAAAAAGTGTTGGGTATATATAACCACATATGACGGTAATTATGTGTGCGACTGTCGCTTGTACAATTATATTTTAGATTTATGCACATAATATTTAGTTAGAGACGACTGTGATTCTACAAAACATTTTCAAAAATTGGATATGATATTGCCCTTAAGTTAGACGGATACATCATTACTCACATAATGATTAATTTCTGCATTTTGTAAAGAGTCGGGCTGGCCTGTCAAAATTTCAGATTTTTTTCCTGTGAAAGAATAATGACCTAAAAGAAATTCGCCCCAACTATTTTTCTGACATTCTAGGCTTTTGAATAAACCAACATTTTGTTGGCGTCTCATCGTTTTAAGCTGTTAATCAGATATACGACAGCTGCTATTTGGTTTGATTTATTTAGTCTTCAAATGAACATAACACGTTGGCGCTATACTTACTACTATTGATATCTAACTTAGTCCCGTCTTCACATGGGTAGGTACCCTCCATAGGTTTATACGTACATCCGACCCAGAAGCTTCCCTCATAGCCTTGGTATGTACTGGTGACAGCATGAAGCTCATCGTTACTATTGGGAACGAAGAGTGTCCCACCGATCGAGTTACATCGTGAAACCGCTTCGGAATATGTTATGATCCATTCATCGACCAAGTACTTATAGCACCCGTGACCAATGCTCTCCCATCCATTGGGACATACTGCATCTTTAGGAAGAAATTTAGGGATTAAAAAACATGATGATGATGATGATAATAATAAAGATAATGATGGTAATGATGATAATAATACTACTCCTACTACTACTTCTACTAATCATGATAATATTAATGATAAGATTAAAGTTGCAAAATCTGTTTAAAAAGTTGTGGGCAGCAAGATCATATGGATGGTAAAAATCTCGTTAAATTCGTCATCAAGTTTTATTGGTAGGCCTATATTTTACGATTTTTCAGTTATTCTTATCGAAAATAAGACTGATTAAATCATTATATTTAATCAAAATTTACCCTACGATGCATTTTTATTTTACTTCCGATTTCTTTTTTACTCGAATTACTACACCCTAAATCAACATTTCAAAACGATAAATAGTGCATTTACGTGTGAACATAGTAATTACCTGTGCGTTGAATGGTTGAAGAAACAAGCAACATGATAAGAAAGACCAACATTCTTGGATCACACGACGTCACACTTATCGAAATGACACCCATTTTAGAGAAACAAAATTTGTCGAAAAGCCTTCGATCCCAAATGATACAAGATCTGATCAGATACTCTCGAAATGCGTCAGATATATATATATCTAAACGTCAAACGTCGAATAGGTACTAATTGTTTCGACCTTCGTCAAATATGAAAAAAACATTAAAAATGCATCCGTGTCATGCATGGATACGGAGGGAACCAAATTACCTCCATTTCAGGGCAGTTAAAGAAGAAGTCGTGTTTCGGATAAAGGTGGGAAATGACTTGCGAGCTTTTTCATTCTCTTTGTTCAGTACCTTCACCCTTGTGGTCTGCTATCACCGTAGTAAAGTCACATGATAAGACTACAGTGTACTTTTGTAATGCCCTCATGAACTTTGCGACAATTGTAATGCCACATGAATGTGTATAGTCCCATAGTTGTCATGAGCAGTGCTTTTCCATTGCTAATTGTGTTTGTGAATGGCAGGAAGGTTAAATCTGTCACCATTTTGACGATTCCACAACTTCACAATATACACTCTTTTCATTATATCTCTACGTAATCATTCCCTAAAAGCTTCTAGAATTTTTTTCTTCCCACGATACACTTGTATGTCCAGAACTCAACTTTACCTTAAAATAATATGAACACAATTGAGTTCATTAGACCATGGACCTATGATTAGACCGAGCGATCCGAGCACGTAAACGCGTAGGATACGGGTGTGCATTATTAATTTTAATATGTGTTACGATCTCATTTTTGTGTCGTGTTCCTTATTAATTTTCTCCATTACCAAAATTGATAGAATTGTGTGAAGCTGCATATTTTATGGCTCTATATAGAACCCCTTTTTTTGAAATGGTAATGAAATCCTAAACGTTCTATTAATTCAATTAAAAAAGATCTGATCGTGGAACAAAGTTACAAAATAGAACAACTTTATATCTCACAGATAACCTTGTGCGTCTGAAGGGGAAATGGGGAAACGCCCCCGCCCCAAAAGGTTCTCAACCATTTCAATCGCTAGTAAAAAAAATCATTCTATGCAATTATAATGCTCTTGAACTGAAACCTCATAAATTTAGGGCCAGGGAGGTGATTTTGAAACTGTGTATCACCATCGGGTAGGATGTGTTGCAACACCCCCCCCCCCCCCCCCCCCCCCCCCCCCCCGCCACAAAACCGATACCAACGAAATGTGATATCAATATATTGAAATAATTGTAGTCATGTTGATCAGGATGCTTATTTGTTTGAATATATATATATATATTTTTTTATTTATTTTATTTTTTATTTATTTATTTTTTTTTTGGGGGGGGGAGGTTAGATATCTGCTTCTTTTAAATTCGAAAGTTAGTATACAAAATGCCATCGATAGCTTGTTTTTAAACGCGTGTGTTGCACCCACCCCCTACCCCTCTCTCTATCTCTCTCTCTCTCTCTCTCTCTCTCTCTCTCTCTCCCTCAAGCCATCCAGGGTCAAGGATTCGGTGCATTGCTGCCAACCCATTAATGGCCTCCAATATTGACTTCGAACCTGATCATGGGCACAGTGGACCCTGCACTGTTATGCTACTGCGCACTATATTTAGACGGTGATCACACAGTATACGTATAGTTCACGACAATATTCCGAAAGATTTCGTCGGGTTGAAGTTCAATTTTGAAGCATAATATGTGCAGCCTCTTACGATTTTTGTCTTCATGCATGCATGCACATCGGCTGCTTCCGAGGATTGATTTCCGTTGATTATTTCAGCTACAAAGCGATCTTAGTATATCTCTACTGCTTTACCAGGGAACGAGTAACAAGTGGTGTCCAGACAGTCGAGGTATAGCCTAACTCATTTGCTTTCAAGGTAAGCATTCATAATCACCACGTTTCACAAAAGCATAATATTCATTCACTATTCGTTAATTATACCTATACTTATTAAATAAAATATTAACGGTGGAAGAGAAAATAGGAATCTTGTTAAAGTCGATCGAATTTGCAATCAAAATGTCGTGGGGTCGAATATCCTACCCATCCCGTGACATTTATATATTTGCACTTTATTATCCCCAACATCATTTTTGTGTAAAGGAATTATCAAGTTTTTATAAAGGATCACCACGCCTTCAAGGTTACTTTATGCCGCAATCCTTCTTCATGAATATTGTATGTTAGTATTAAGTAGTATTAAGTATTATACGTTGGTGAGGTAGTAATAATTTGTTTATTATCATGATTATGTTGTACATGTTTAATGGTCTGTAACTTTGGGAAAAGTCCATGAATAGAGAATTACAGAAATCAAAAGAAATTAATCATCATTATCATTACAAGGGTAATGTAATTCAGCGTAGCAACTTTTTTTATGTTGGGAAGGTTCGTGCAGCCAAAAATGAATATTAAAAGGAAAATGCGCTAACAAAGTGAGAAAGAAAAAAGAAGAAGAAGAATTCACATTACGCTACGTAAATTATTATACTCAATACGGCCTAGGATATATTTAAAACATAAACCAGCAAAAAACCAAAAAAAGCCTGATTTATTCATATAGGCCTACTTATATGCAGGTTTACAGAAACGTTAAAAAAAAACGTAAAGGTTATAGTATTGCCAATACACCCTCCCGTTTGAAGGCCCTTTAAACCAAACCAAAGACAAGAAATCCGGCACATTTTCTCCATTTGGCACCCTCACCCCACCCCCTCTCTCTCTCTCTCTCTCTCTCTCTCTCTCTCTCTCTCTCTCTCTCTCTCCCTCTCTCTCTCTCTCTCTCTTCTCCCTCTCTCTTCTTTCTCTCTATATCTTGCTTCTTGCAACACATTTCTGGATGCGCCACTGTGTATTATCCATTTTTTTCAGTTATCGTGAAATAACTCATGATAAGAATCTCATCAGCGACATCACATAACGTAAACAGAAGCATTATTATGTCAAGTTCCCCCACATAATGCCATCTTTGAGTACAGTACATGTTGTGTGTATACAGAGATGCTATTCATCGCTCAGTAACATGATCCATTGGCGCCATGCCGATCTGCCGGAGGACAAAGTGAATGCTTTCACAGTAGAATCGTTCGCGGCGCCGTGTTACACCCTCAGTCACACCATCACAATTATTCCGCACCGGCCCTGTAACTATCGATCTCTTAGCCATAAGGGTCAATGTAATTTTTGGCTCTGTCTCTTGTCGGTATGGCGTCGGTCTTTGTCGTGTGACCGGGGTGTAAATGCACGGTTTACATCCTTGAGTATGCGATCGAAACAGATTCACGAAGTGTTTTTTTTTTCTTCTTTCATGAATAACTATTAGGCTTTGAATCCAGACCTGAGTTTGGGGAAAAAACGGAGAAAGGGCTTGATCGCGAATGAGAAAAAGAAGTGACACACGCGCAAAATATAGACAGATAGTGAGAAGGGAGAAGTGAGGAGAGATAGTGAGAGGAGAGATAGGGGAGAAAACTCTCATATATTTCAACAATTACACACTATAGAACAAATTACAGCTATATACTATTACAATCCTTCAGGAGATAACAAATTAGGCCATAAAAAAATAATTTGTTGGGTTGTCCTCGATTGCTATTCTGGAGTAGGGGCGGGCAGGCGGATTTTTTTATTTATTTATTTTTTATTATTTATTTTTTAACCTAATTTTTTTGGTGTCTTTTTTTGATTTTTTTTTTTTTTTAATAATCTTTTTTCCTTAAAAAAAAAATCATTGGGATTGTCAAGCATTTAAACAAACAAAGTCTATAAAACACTTTAATATGGTAAAAGACTAGTTTAATGTACAATGAATATCAAGACCAACACAGAAAGTATTTTGGGCTTTGAAATACAGCACCTTTTAATTCGCCATTATACTACTTATAGCATCTTGCGCCCTCTATGTAGCAAATAATGCCTAATCGGTGACCATTGGTCCCCCATTATCCTCTTTATCTTATATTAACTGAGAGCAGATTTGATGAGATAACCACCTGTCCAGTGACCTTGCAGGGTGGTCTAATCCCTCCTGTAAACTAGTACAGATGGGCTTTAAAATGAGTTTAAGAATGCTCAGAACCTGATTTGAATGAACGACATTTTGACATAGAAAAATAAAAATGGCAAGTTCAATAAATACCTAAGTGCGAACTGAAAAAACCAACCTGGCAACAGGACGCATTTTGATCCTTGCAAATGCATAAAATGGTATGTCTGGCATTTAATATTGCTCACCCCAAAAAAAATTGAATAAAAAAAAAATGAATTAAAAAGAATATATATTAAAAAAAATATTTTAAAAATACGAGCGGCCCGAAAATGACGAGCGGGAGGTCGAGGACAACCAAATGATTTTTTTTTTTGCCTTAGAGGTAATTGTCGCGTTTAGGACGACAAGATAGATTTCCTAAACAAAAACCACATCTCAATGATATTACTATTCAGTAGGGCGATCCCTTTCGGACAGTTACCCTTCAATAACTCAATCAAATTTTTTTTTAAATGCTTACATAAAATTAATACCAAATGACATTGCAATATTACATAGAAAATGAAACTTATTTGTGATTATGCAATATTAATTAATGTCAATAAGTAATCAAAGCATTTATGACACAAGACACATATCCCAATTCAAGTCGAATATTGAAAGAAACTGATAAATCCACCAAAAAGCAGAGCTTTATTTGTTAGGATTACTCCTAAAAAAGAAAAAAAAGAAATAGTTTTTTATATAATTTTTTTATTATTTTTTTTTATCTCAGGGGTGCTCGAAGATAGTTGCCCGGATTCAACAGACAGTTAACTATGCCTTTTATCAAATAAAAGGCTCGCCCTTGTAATCACCCAAAGGAAATGTTAAAGATCTGACTTTTGCAATTAGGTTCAGCCAATATTATCATTATCTGGGGGAAAGAGCGCGAATGCGTTACTCGCATAATTCCTACATTCATCTACAATGAATATAGCAGCCCAAGCTTTGATGGAGTATATCTTTCTATGTGTAAAAACGAAAACAACCCATCATTTACTATTTACCCCTAATTTATGTATTTTGCTTGTACATCCACGTAAATGTCAGGGCTCACAGGGCATCAAGCTAATTTGCTTATCTTGGTGCCCTTGACAGTTCTGTTTAACATAAGTCCATATTTCTTTATTTATGTTCTAATGTATACTGATGTTATTTTGTAATCAGAAATGGAAATTAATTAATTAAATGAAATGTACATATCTTTAAATTTTTGTTGTTACAGATTTTGGAGTCTACAAAGCCGCAACATGGAGCTCATAAAGAAACGTCTACAGGATAATGGCATTACCTCGGTTCGTTTCGAACAATCTGACATGTATGGGATCCCACATTGCAGATCCATTCCAACCAGGCATTTCGAAAGGATGGCAACGAAGGGAGTTAACATCTCCATGGGTTTTATGGCTTTCGACCCCAAGGGCCAAGTCGCCAAGAACACTGGATATGGAGAGGAGATTCACAACGCTGATTGCCTCGCCTTTCCAGACCTGGATACCTTTCAGATCTTGCCTTGGTGTACGAAGACGGCTAGGGTCTTGATAGAAGGGGTTTACAATGGTGAGAAGGTGGCTGTCTACCCAAGGGTTGTGGCTAGACGACAGTTAGAAAGGCTGGAGAAACACGGGTTGTCGCTTTGGTCGGCGCACGAGCACGAGTTCTTTGTGGTCAAAGAAGACACCCTGAAACCGTTGCATGATCAGACAAATGCCATTGCGGTTATTCCCATGGCCGCGTACGAGTCGTTTTTCCAGCAGATACTCAATGACCTACCTCAGGCTGGTGTTGACGTTGAATGCTACGGTGTTGAATCCGGGCAGTCACAACTGGAAATCACCTACCGCCCAGAGTTTGGGATCAAAGCTGCCGACACTGCTCACACGTACAAGCTGGGTATCAAGGAGATTGCGCTGAAGCACGGATTAGTGGCAACGTTCATGTCAAAACCATGGCCGGACGTAGCTGGTAGTTCAGCACATTTCTGCCACTCGCTCTGGGACGTTGACGGGAAGGTGTCCAAGCTCTATGATGCTGGAAGCCCGACTGGGTTGTCGGAGATTGGGCAACACTGGGTGGCTGGACTCCTTGCTCACGCCCGAGCCATAGCCGTGCTGATGGCACCAACAACCAACTGCCTCAAGAGATTCAAGCGGCATTCTTTTGCTCCTTGGAACGCCACATGGGGTCCCGACAACCGAACCTGCGCCATCCGCGTCAAGGCAAACGGCAAAACTGGCACATACGTCGAGAACCGGATGGGAGCCAGTGCATGCAGTCCTTACATCAGCATGGCTGCGACTATTGCAGCAGGTTTAGACGGTATCATCAACAAACTCCCGCTTCCAGAAGGCATCGATGGAGCAGGGGATGCATACGAGGAGGAATACATCCCACCCGGGACACAGACGCTACCGGACAACATGGAAGAAGCCATTGATGCCTTGCTCTCTGACGATGCTATCACTGCGGCCCTTGGACCAGAGTTTATCAAGTGCTTCGTTGCTACTAAAAGGCATGAAGTGAAACTAGAAAAGGAGGCCATTTCAAAAGGAACAGTTGAGGAGTGGGAGAGAGATTACCTCTTTTTCATTATGTAAGAAGAGTGTCCAGTCGGTCTTTTGAACCAATACCCTTTTAAAGTTATATTATGTGTATCCTTTAAAAGCAAGTTAGACGACGATTCTTAGTATCCTTTATCATATAGTTTTAGTGTGTACTGTCAATCAAAGGGATATTGCTGTTTTTCTCAGCAATCGTTTTTTACATGTATTATACAGCTCAAATCATTTGGTTTGAATTTCAATGTCATATAGTTTGCTCAGGCGTAACGTGATGATCACAGGTCAGAACTACCTCGACTACTTACATGTTAATAGACTTTCAAACGGTACCGTCAGATGATAAAACTAACGATGCCAATAATAATATAGGTTTTCTCGGCCAATTTCGCACTTCATTAAATTTAGCGCAAACACCATTTTCGGTTGGGACTGTCATTCAAAAATGCACTTCAATCATTCAGTTTAGAGTATCGGACAAGGAATTTCGCACTTTTATCATTTTTATTCATTCCGTTTAGTGCGTGTGTCAAGATTCATTCGAATTCATTGACAATTGCGAGAAGGTGATCTCGGGCATTCAAATTCGCGAATGGGCAGTCAATTTGGTAACATGTTCATTTAAAGTAACATGTATATTGTTTATGCAGGCCCTATCTATTTGTTCTTCTTTAGTTCCCTAGAAATTAACTGATATTGATTTATCCCGTTCCATTTGCATTGTTGATATCAGACGCATTTTAATCATTGATTTAAAAAAAAAAAAAAAATCGACTTAAATATCCATAAATTAAAATGAAATATATAGACCATACAGTATTACAATATATAATAGAACAAATGAATTATACAAGTAACAGATACTGGTAAGTATCTACGAAACAAAATAAGTTTACAGAGTACATTTAAGTTTTAGAATAAGACAAAATGTATTAACTGAGAGGGGGAGAGAATCTCAGCCATGCTAGGTTTGTTGAGCGAGATGAATTAAGTTCTTGTAAATGTATTTTATGTATCCCTATTTTCTTCACCTCTCAAAGCTATATTACATCAGATACCCGAAATATTGTTTGCCAAGTACTTGAAAACAGCTACAGTGTATTAATTGATAAAGAAATTTAACCCATGAGTGGTAAATAGATCAATCAAAAATGTTTAAAGTCCATTTAGTGTCTGTACAACAATCTACAAATCATTCCTGTTTGGTAAATGTTAAATACTACGGTGTGTTCTAGGCAACCTGTTGTGCTGGCGCGTTTCCTTGACGTCTATATATCCACGTTTTTTTCTTTTTCTTTCCAGGCAGGAAAATAAATCTGAATTCTTTTTTAGTACATTTTATATGATGTCATCGTATTGTACCAAATATACAATCTTTGTATCTAGTATCTTCTATGCTTGTCTTTAACTTTAAAAACAATTATACTTAATAATCTGATTGGTATCATTTAAATCAAGTTCTTGACTTATTATATATTGCAGAATATTTTTTTTAAAAATATAAATCAGCTTTATACATCAGCTTCTTAGTAGTTGAATCCTTTTTTTGTTCTAGCAATCACTCTTATCTTAGATATAATTTTGATTTGGATATTTTTGGAGTAATAATGCTACAAATGTTGTTTTTGTAACGTGTTTATGTAATAGCATCTTTTTCATTTTCTTTCGTAGTTTGTTCAAAGCGTAAAGATTTGTGATAGTGTGTATAACAGTTCTAATGTTGCCTTTTTTTTCGTTTGTAAATTATGTCTTAATATCTTTCGTAATCATTTATGTGTACAGTGTTTATGTACACGGGGCTCCGCCGTGATGTGAAATAGTTTTTAAAATATGAGTGAAAGAAAAAAAATGTATGCGGTGTGGGAGTGGGCGTGTGTATAGGTATGTGGACCTACACATACGTATAATATAGTATACATGCGTAATGTGCTGCATGGTTTGCATGTACAATGATTATGAGAATTCCGTCTAATTACTTTTTTGCTACATTAATCTGGTATTTTCTGTATTTTTAAAAAACAAAAATCGATGTTGTTTTTTAGCAATCACCAGGCATCCAATATTTTTTAAAATTATTAATATCATAATCATCATTTTTGTATGCTTTTATAATGTTGTTCATTTTCGGTGTATGTGAACTTTTGATGTTGTGTTCCTGGATACTTAATAAATACAAAATATTTAAATGATAATAATAAAGACCTTGCTACACATTACCTTTTCCAGAATGAATAATGCATAATTTTAAACATCTCATATTATCACTACATCTGTGGAACAAGGAAAGTGGCAGACTTTTCATGTCATTATGATGGTTCGACAGGCGCGTACACAGGGGGGGGGGGGGGGGGGGGGGGGGGGGGGGGGGGGGGGGGGGGGGGGGGGGGGGGGGGGGGGGAGGTTAAAACCCCCCCCCCTTTGGATTTTTTTATTTTTTTTTATTCCATGGTTGACCTAAAAATCTGACCTTACCCCCCCCCCCCCCCCAACGGAGCAAATGTCACATTTTCAATTTCGAGACCAAAAAAATAAAAAAAATGTGTCCTCTTACCCCCTCCCCCCCCCCCCCCCCCCCCCCCCCGCCTTATTCAGCGGTCGGCTGAGTCGTTGCGATTTTTGGGACCAAAAAAAAAAAAGAAAAAAGTGACCTCTTACCCCCCCCCCCCCCCCCCCCCCCCCCCCCGCTTATTCAGCGGCTGGCTGAGTCGTTGCGAAAATTTCGGCCCGATTTATAAATGTTAACCCCCCCCCCCCCTTGAAAAAATCCTGCGTACGCGCCTGGGTGGGCTTATAAAAGCCTGTGATATTGTTTCCATCCCCAAGCCAAGAGGTGTCACTGTTCCATGCGATATTTCTCTTCTTTCTTTGCCACTTTTGTTTCAGCTAGATCAGGGCCCCATTTCATGAAACTTGTTATGTGCCATTTTGCTTTAGTCTAGACTTGAAGAAATTTGTTGAAATGAGAGGGGCTATTAAAAGAGGGGAGAGAACAAAGTAGAGGAGATTAGAGGAGAGGAGAGGAGAGGGAAATAGAGAGACAGTGAGAGATGGACAGAATAGGAGGGAGAGGGAGAGAGAGGAAAGGTGGACAGAACGGGGGGGGGGGGGGAGGTGGACAATGGGAGAGAGAGAGAAAGAGAGAGAAGAAAATAGTTTCTATGCAAGGAGAATGTTTACTACAGGATTTAAAATGAACACTACAGCTACATTTATGAATTTCAAATGGTTTGAATCCTACAAAATACAAAATTTAGGGCTATGTAGATTGTAGAAGCAAGATTACACTCTTGTACATGTAGTTCACAATGCCTGTGATTTGATGATCTTTATGTAAAGAAATATCCCGCTGATTGCAACTTTGGGCTGATGAAGACGCAAATCAACTGGCTAATTTGCGATCGGGATAGTTCAGATAGCAGGTTATTTGGCAAACTAGAGCTGATGAAGACAGGCCTAATGGTCCAGGATTCAGGAGAGCCTTGTACTCTCATGACACAGCCCCCCCCCCCCGTGCCATTTTAAAAGTGATTGATTATTAAGTAAATGGCTCTCCAACCCGCCTTGTAATATTTTCATGTGTATGAAAGCAGAAAAATAAGATAAACAGAAAAGCAAAAGTTTGAAAAAGATTAGTCCAATAATAATAAAGTTAAGAATGTTTGAAATATGAGTTCGCTTTATGAAAATCTCAAATTTGCAGTAGTCGCATACAAAAATATCATTAATTTCTGGTTTTCTCCTAAGTGCCTTCTCCCTTGGTGCACTACTCAAAATATATTATGGATAGCATATTGGTTTATATCCTCCTAAAGAAAATAGGCCCTCCTGAGTCATACATTTTTTGAAAAAGTGAAAATGTATTATTTCAGTTTGCATTTCCTTGGTCCAGAAGATTGTCAAGTAAAAACAGTGTCAACTTATAGTTATAGTGACATCATTGACTTGTTGAGAAATTTGATTTTGTTAAAAGTTAATACAGTCAAACCTGCTTTAGTGACCACCTGTCTACAAAAGCCACATTTCTTGTTTCCCTTGAAAATGGTTTCTCATTGAAACATGTACTAAAGAAACCTGTCTACAAAGACCACTTTTTGTGTTTCCTTGGGCGGTCGCTATAGACAGGTTTGACTGAGTATTCGTTTACTTATAAATAATACAAAAAATCATGGGTACAGTAGTATCTGTAGCTTCAAGCATAAATTGGTCTCATAATGTGCTTCTCGAGAGCTGTAAATCTGTCTGTTGATATGAGCATTCTGGGATTAGTAATGGGGTGGTGGAGGAGCAAGAAGGGATGAATATGGGAGATGTTGAAAAGATTGATTGGTTTTGTTATCTTGGAGAATAAAAGGCAAGATCAACAAGGCTAGTTCTGGTCGTGCGATTGCATTGTGAAAGAAACGTGGAATCGATCAGAAATGGTTGATCATGTAGCATATAAGTATTGGTGTGTACTGCAAGGTTCTGGAATCATCAAAATGATAGGAAATTTGGCCCAGTCTTGGTAAAGTTACAAGCACTGTACACAAAAAGATGTATGTGGGACTACACGAACATGTGCATGACACGAGCGATATCTATCAGGTCCAAATAGATGTAATAATTTACCAAATAAATCAATTAGTAGGTGGTTTCCCAGTAAAATTTGTATCATCAGGTATTAGTCAAAACATTTACTTTCACATGATTGGTGATAAGATCTTACATTTCATTTTTGAGAGGGGGGCGTTTCCAAAACTGGTCTATACCTTTAAAGTACAGCAATAGTAGTATGTGGTAAAGAAACTTGGAATGCGAAGACCGTAGAAGAAGGTATCTTGAGGAGAACAGAACAAGCTATGCTAATGGATGATGTGTGGTGTGAAACTGTTCGGTAGAAAGAACACAAGTGAGCTCATGGAAAGGGTGGGTCTGGAAGAATCTGTGGTTGAAGTGGTAACGAGAAGTGGATTGAGATGGATGGGTCATGTGATGAGAAGGGGAGATGATGAGCCTGTGAAAAGAGTATGGGATCTGGAAGTGGATGGCATAAGAGAGAAAAGAAGAACGAAGGTTTCATGAAAAGATATAATGATGAAAGAGAGCAGTAAGGTTGGTCCGAATGAGGAGGATGCTTGAGACAAGAAAAAGTGGAGTGATGGAGTGCCATCTTGGCATGAAAATCAGGAACCCCCTCTTAAAGGTACTCTGTCCCATTTGCAGGCCACAAAAATAGAAAGGTTAAATTCCAATGACATTTGAAAGATAATACTAATTTAGAACTTCCCTCAAAACAGAAGGGCTTGAAAATGTCTTTTGGTGTAAAAATAACGAGCGTTAGTTGTCAAATCAAATTGAGCGAGTGCGCTCTTTAAATTGAATTGTATGATTTTCAGACCATTGTACCGATTGGTTGTACGTTTTGTGCTGCGCAAAGATACACTCAGCTTAATTTTTCGACATTAAGAAGTGGGTTATTGATGTAGGTAAATGCTCATGTACCCTTTGATTCGGTACAATGGTCTGAAAATGAAGACTATTACTTTTGGCTCTATAGCTCCTAAGTCGATTTTGACCACTAATAGTCGATATTTTCCCATTTGAAGACATTTTCAAGCCCCACCTTTTTTAGGGAAATTCTAAATAAGTATTATCTTTCAATTGCCGTTGGAATTTATTCTTTTCATTTTTTGGGCCTGCAAATGGGACATAGTACCTTTAAGTGCGTTGCCCCATTTCGCTTAAAGCCCCACTGCACTACTTATAGCAGGGGGGGGGGGGTTAGACCTCCCAGCATGGTCACTGACAGATGGTTATCTCACCCAATCAGGTGACAATAAACAATGGTCACCGATTAGGCATTGTTTGCTATATAGAGGGAGCAAGTAGCTACAAGTAGGACAGTGGGGCTTTAAGTCTGTTTTGGGGGATAACATGAATATATTATATAATGTTTTAATTATTTTTCTATACCCTTGATATTTCACTGTAGTACCGCTATGATTGTGATTATAATTTTCAAGTAATACAAAAATAAACAAAACATAAACAACAATAAAACCAACCAAACAAACAAAAAAAGACAAACAGACAAATAAAAACACAAAACATTTTTCTGCAAATGTATTAAGAAAAACATATAGATGATATGCAATTTAATAACAGAGGAGAAATGAAAAGTTAATTCCGGAAATGTGGTATTAACCTTTAGAATAATTCCTCTTACCTGTAATAGCAGAGATGGAAGGCAATAATAATAATCATCAAAATTCATAACCCGAAGAACAAATTTTAACCTTCATTATTGATATGATAATCACTTTTTGATGAACACCAAGCCACTTAACAGTCTCTCAAAATGATATTTTTTTACTTTGGAGAACACCGCTTTAAACGATTATAGACACTGCGCGAAAGGCGATACTAGAGAATCGGTGGACTCGCTAAGAGCATTTAGCCTCCCATGAGGTGTTTTTAATGTGCATGATCGGTGGTGTTATATTGCTCTTCCAGCAATGATCCTATTAAAGGTATATTTAGGGATTTTACCTAGAATACCTGGTGGGAATTGAAATGCAATTATCCATATGCTGCTTCCCCTGTTCAGGAAATATTAATTGCATATATTTCTGTTTTGTTTGTTTATTGAATCTTATTCTATCTGCTATAGGATACCTGTGTAATCGTAGCTAATAAGTAATTTTCAGGAGCCGGTGTAAATGAATATGAAGAGAAAGATTTAAAGGAGAGAAAAAATGTTAGAGGATCTAGCCTCCAGTGAAATGGATTTATATAACAAACTTAAAAGGAAAAGTTTACCTCAACATTAAAGGAAAATGAAACCCAAGAAAATTAACTCATAATTTTATTAATATAACAAATGGTCAGCCAGTTGAAAAATGATCTTGAAATTACTATTATTTTCAATTTCTTAGCAAGGAAAATAATCTCTCCAAAGTTTGCGGTTTCCTTTCAAGCCACTTTATCATGATATAGTCGACATCTTGATTGAAATAGTGATGTCAGAGTAGTTCATTGACCTGCATATGTTGGATGTGGTGTTGCATAATGACTGCCTATTGTGCAACCTGGGGTGTTTCACAAAGATCCTAAGTTGAACATATGTCTAAGTTGGAGTTAACTATTCTGGAAAGCCATTATCATCTATGAAATATTTTTGTAAAATTTATTTTTATAGGCATAAAATGTAGATTCAAATCATTCATATTTTTTATTATCAAGGAGATTTCATGTTCTTGATGTGGAATTTATGAAAATTCTAAAATACAGTCAAACCTGTCTATAGCGACCGCCCAAGGGAAACACAAAAAGTGGCCTTTGTAGACAGATTTCTTCAGTACATGATTCCAAGAGAAACCATTCTCAAGGGAAGCAACAAATGTGGCCTTTGTAGACAGGTGGTCACTAAAGCAGGTTTGACTAGTTAAATTTTTATCTTTTGCACTCAGAATATTGCTACAAAAATTTGAATTTGCAGTTTTTGTCATTCTAATTTTGTATTTACCATGATTACATTGTTTTATTGTTATATTTCTTGAAAGTGCCGAATAAATAATACAAAAGGGCACTGACAGGTGGTTATCTCATCAAATCAGCTCTCAATTAACATAAGAAAAAGGGGATCATAGGCACCGATTAGGCATTGTTTTAGGGATTAACCCCCCCCCCCTCTTAAAAAAAAAAAAAAAAATTGTGCTCTAGCAAAACGGAAAGGAAGAGAAGTACTTTTAACCAGGCACATTGGCATAATTATTATCAGATATTTTTTTTGGAGGGGTGGAAGGGGGTGGGGGAGGGGAGGGATGGGTCTAACCTCACCCTTCCCTTAGTTTGATCCAACTCCCCCTTCTTCGTCACCTCTTTCCAAGATGACTCTCCTTCGTGCCATCTCTTACGATAACACCCACCCCGTCCTTCCTGTGCTCCTACCGCTTCCAGCATCATCGGTCTCTCAGCGCCCTCTTTATTCCATTGTGAGCACAGTCTCGACGGGCTGGTTGTCATTCCTTGCTGCATGACCAGTGACGGTTAAAACGTTAATCTGCTTAGACTGCGCAGCGCAGGCATCCGCTGCACAGGGTCACTGTCGCGTGTAGGGCCTATTCACATCATGGGGAATATCGTTCAAGAAACGTCTAACGAAGTGTCACTTCTAGTACATGTAGCTTAATAGTAGGGTAAAAGGGGTATACTTGCAGGTGTTTTGTTTGGAAATATTGTAGGAAAGTAGTCATTATGAAGGACAAAAGGCAGCTGTTTACCCCACGTTGTGCTTCTCTGGTTCTGAATTTCATTTAAAGTCCGGTTTAGTATACCCATGCATCACCAGCCTCGTTCATACAGTGCTGCAGTCTTACAGCATAACAAGACGTGTCAACTGTGATTCTAGATTAAGTTCTTGTATGGAACCAAACAGTGCCCAATCTCCTGTTTAGCAACCAGTGTGAACTCAACAAAAGAAAAGCTATTTAATAGAGTTATACTATGAAACGTAGGGTTTCTCCGGTCTGAACGAGGGGATACACTCACTGTTTTTTCTCTCTTTTTATAAGAATTTGTTTTAGCAGAGGGCAAATATCTGAGTGATGTAGCTCTTGTTGCAATTTTAATGATATTTTCTCACATGGGAATCCATAACCTATATTTCTCTAGGTCATTATCTCATGCATAATACATGTCATTTTCTGTTTATGTTTGTCTTTGCTCAAGACGAACAAATAGGATTTCCTTTGGCAGTTTTATGCAACACCTATCTTTTGAATTATAGTTTGGTATTTTTCTTTGTACTGCTTTTCTTTCGTTTGGTAAAGCCCCACTGTACTACTTGTAGCTACTTACTCCCTCTATATAGATCCTAATCGGTGACCATTGGTCCCCCATGATCCTCTTTTTATGCCTCCGTTACGAAGTAGCCGGAGGCATTATTTTTCTGGTTGTCCGTCCGTCCGTCCGTACGTCCGTCCGTCCGTACGTCCCGTTCTCGTGATCGCGTTATCTGAAGAACCGATTGATGGATACCTGCCAAACTTTGGTCATGTATGTATCTTGCAGAGCCGATGAACTGATTAGATTTTGGGGTCACGAGGTCAAAGGTCAAAGGTCACAGGGCTCATTATGTATGCAAAAACAGCTCGTGATCGCGTTATCCAAAGAACCGATTGATGGATTCCTGCCAAACTTTGGTCATGTATGTATCCTGCAGAGCCGATGAACTGATTAGATTTTGGGGTCACGAGGTCAAAGGTCAAAGGTCACAGGGCTCATTATGTATGCAAAAACAGCTCGTGATCGCGTTATCCAAAGAACCGATTGATGGATTCCTGCCAAACTTTGGTCATGTATGTATCTTGCAGAGCCGATGAACTGAATAGATTTTGGGGTCACGAGGTCAAAGGTCAAAGGTCACAGGGCTCATTATGTATGCAAAAACTGCTCGTGATCGCGTTATCTCAAGAACCGATTGAAGGATTCCTGCCAAACTTAGGTCATGTATGTTACTTGCGAAGCCGATGAACTGATTAGATTTTGGGGTCATGAGGTCAAGGTCAAAGGTCATGCGGCTAAATGTATGCAAAAATAGCTTGTGATCGCATTATCATTAGAACAGATTGATGGATTCCTGCCAAACTTAGATCATGTATGCATCTTGCAGAGCCAATGAACCGAGTAGATTCTTTGGTCATGAGGTCAAAGGTCAAAGGTCATGGGCTCATTATGTATGCAAAATAGCTTGTGAACGCATTCTCATTAGAACTGACAGATGGATTACTATTTAACTTTGGACATCTTGCAGAGCCAATGAACTGAGTAGATGTTAGGGTCATGAGGTCAAAGATCAAAGGGTCATATATGTATATGAGAAATTGCTTGTAATCACAATATTCTGAGAACCTGTTAATGGATTACAATTGAACTTGAATTTGAAAAATTTCTTCTGTTTTGGTTTGTAAATTGCTCTATGACGGAGGCATCATTTCGACTGCGCGCAGTCGAAGTTCCATCTAGTTCTTATGTTAATTGAGAGCTGAGTTGATGCGATAGCCACCTGTCAGTGACCTCGCTGGGTGGTCTAATCCCTCCTAGCCAAACTAGTACAGATGGCCTTTAAAACAGGATCACTATAGACTTTCAAGAAATGAACCTGATTAGTGTAATTTTATTACCCTTGTGTATCATATATTGAATTTCTGAAACACTAGAATGAATTCTTACCTGATGATGATGGTCTACAGCACTTTTATGGCGCCAATTATCTGTGTCAAACATTCAGAGGCGCCCGCTCCTCCAGTAGTCATGTACTAAAAATTAACTGGAAAAGATGTGTTTGAAGGCCTGACTTAAAGGGATCCGGTGACTTTGTCTCAGATTCTGAAACAAAATTCTGGATTTAGCTCATGCTGCAATGATAATTATAAACCTTTAGGTCAGTCAGGAACCCCATGACTTTTACAAGCCGATTGCCTGTCTGATTATCAAGATATTTATGATTGGAAATCAAACCAAATTTTGCGTTTGCCTAACGGTTTTCAAAACACTACAGTTTATTGGGAAAAACGAGTATGGTAAAACCGGTCACTCAAACTCAAAGATTTTTACTTTTTTGAGGCACTTCTTGACCATTTTGAAGTGCAATTTTTTTTAGGGCTTCAATATTACACCATATCAAAGACACTGATAACACGTAGGCCAGTGTATCTCAGATTTAACATTGTTAAACGATCCCTTTAGAGCTTTCTAGCTTGTCGGTGTCGCGAAGGATAGGAGGGAGGGAGTTCCAGAGGCATGGAGCAACTGAAGAGAAGGCACGATCACCTAATCTGAACATGATTTTCTTTTTTGAGTGATAAAAAATATGGTATTGAATTGATATCGCCCTGAGGTTGATTTTCAGAATGTCTGTGAATTGTGTTTCAATAAGAAAGATGATATTACCAAAAGCAAGGGAATGCATGATTTCTTTAGTAATCTTTGTGGTATTCCTTTTCTGAATGGGCTTGTAACGATCATTCTTGTCATTACGTTATCATGTTTTGAGTACTTTTGTAGAACACCCTGTCTGATCTACAAAGTCTTCGGTTACATTACCCAAAATTTTGTAGAAATACCATTGTAAAAACAGGAGAAGTGACGGTACTTGACATAAATGTTAACAACATAAATGTTAATAATCACTGAGAAGAGACTAACACACAAGGATCATGCATGATTTTCCGACTATGATTTACATTGTAGGTCACCTCCACATTCAGTGCTTCATCTTAGACTTCATGTTATGGAATATAAGGGGAAAATATGATATTTACCATTTTAGAAATTAATTTCTGTGTTTAGACATAAATGTAGTATGTTGCTAACATTGCACAAGTTTGCTCCTGACAGTCTTTTTCTTGTCTGTATTTCTTTCCTGGGCTTATATTCATGCCATTCCATTTTCTACAAAATTGTCAAAAAGTTTCTGTCTTTTACCCGTGATATTCTTTCATAATCTATTTCTTTAACTTGTTAACGCTTTGTCTTGAATTTACAGATAGAGCTTTTCAAAAATCATAATTTTAATTATTTATGAATTATTTGTTTATTTATTTATAAATTTACTTTATTCATTTTGTTGTTAATTGATGGATGTATATGTATGTGTGTAATTATATTTGTAAATACATTTATGTTGGGGTATTCATTCTTTTCTATCGCAAAACATGCATGTGAATCAGCTTTCATCAAAGTCAAAGACTAGTGATATTTATCTATTTATCCCAAGAAAAGCCTCCTCCTAATTTCAGTTAAGTTGATGGCTCAAATAGTTCTTTAAATATCATGGATGAACAGACATTTGGACGGCAGGGAAGACTGATGATGGGTGGACATAAATCGTTAACCATAATTAAAAAGAGAATTGACCCAAGACATGTACCTTAAGGAACACCAGCATGATTGATTTCAATATTTGGTAAAACACTGTTATATTTTGACAAGCCCAAAATGTAATGTCTCTGCCACCCCCTTCAGTGGTCAGAGGCATAAGAATTTAAAAAAAGCACTCCCAGACCATAAAATTATATTTCTATTTTAAGCTTTCCATGGCTAAATTCCTCTTCACCCACCCCTCTGTACCTGTGAGTTATGGTCCACCTTCACACTTCTTTGATTTGTAGATCCATTTCCAATTTTCATTTCACAAAATTAACTTTTTGCAACAGGCTACAATTTCTTTCAGATAATAATGTACGGTCCTTCTTCATTTCATTTCCCCATCCCTTGGTAATACCTCACAATATGTTGATTGCATGAAACCATTTTATTGTTGGTTTTCAGCAATGAATTTGAGTGATTTGCTCTAGGGGATCAGGGATCATAAAAATGGATTATAAATGTCTGAAGTGGAGCCTTCCCTTTTGCACGGTGCCCCTAATCTCTTGATCTCCCAAGATGCCCTCAAATATATTTCTAATATTTTGATATAGAGCAAGTTGTACGTGATAGCTTCAAAGCCGAAGGGCTATTAAAATGGAAGCCTGTTGATTTCTGACGTGACATTTTGAATTATGAAGTTTTTAAGTCCCATTCAAGAACATGTCATCTTAAAATGTTCAGTTAGCCCAAAGGCACTGGATTTTTAGATGATTTATAGATGTTATTTTATTCATTTATTTATTCATTTTATTTAAATAGGGTAACTCTCTTAAAACTGTTTTCCTGAGAGGCCCTTTACAAATCATAGGTTACAAATACAGAAGAAATTGAACACAGTGTACATAGTACATACATACATATCATATCACAAATTGTTATCATTATTATTTTGTTAATACACCATGATATAAACACAGACCAAAAATCATAGATTTATTTGTTTATATTATAATTAAAATAACAGTTTGAAGAATGGAAACATTTTGAGTTCATTACCTCATTCTTAGCCTTTAGATTAAATACATTTTATGTTCTCTTTATTGTCATACTTTTTATGTAATCTTTAAAGTCATAACTTTTATGTAATCTTTAAAGTCATACTTTTTATGTAATCTTTAAAGTCATATTTTGTTTATCTTTTTGGTATAAGATACAGAAAATGTGTAATTAGTTGCTTTTCATTTCATATGGCATATTCATGTTGCTATTTGTGTACTCTTTATTGTCATACTTTTTATGTAATCTTTAAAGTCATAATTTGTATGTAATCTTTAAAGTCATACTTTTTATGTAATCTTTAAAGTCATATTTTGTTTATCTTTTTGGTATAAGATACAGAAAATGTGTAATTAGTTGCTTTTCATTTCATATGGCATATTCGTTTTGCTATCGTGTTTATTTGTTGGTGTGGTTTTATTACCACGCCATGTATGAACGGGGCTTTTTGAATGACTGCCATGCGCCCCACCTCCTAATCCGCTTCCACTTTGGTTGTCACCGTCTCTTGCACATCATTCAGATCGGCTGCGATCGGAGCAATCAACTAATCGCTATCTGCAGGGCCCGTGGTCTGGAGGGGTTGGTCTGCGACTCGCTGGCTCTACCCTTTGGCGATGGCAGGATGAATGCCTGTATCTGCATTGCTGTCGTCCACCACATGTCGACCCGGGTAAGTAAGCTCCATTTCTCAAGGCGCAATGCCGCCCAAGCTCCGTTCACACATGGTGCATTGAACCGCATCAGAAGAAGAAAAAAAAGCGCCATTAAAAAGGCTGAATTGAAATTTCTCTTGACATTGAAATCATCTCAATGTCCTATCAATAATCCATTTTCGTTGTGTAATCAAATTTAAAGGCTTACCGGTAGTACCTTTATAGCTTATACTGTGTCCGTTTAGCTTGTAATCACTATCATGGAAGTTACTATAAAGTGACATATCATAGAAGTAATAAATGTCATAATAGTGAATGGTTTTCTTTCATGGGACACAAGAGTATATATATATTGCACTTGCTTTGAGAGTATTTGGCTCGTTGTGCTTTCTCATGAAATTTGCTTGGCTTTTGTCGTTGCTTAAATCAATCCCTTTATCCAACTTTGTGCCATTCGATGTTGTATAATTAGCTGCCATTAAGTTTTGAGGTATCTTGTGTAGGCCTACAAATAAACAGCTTGAGATCTCACTGAGAAGGGACAATTTAAAACCATACTCACTGTACTAGAAGTACTACTGCATAATCTCCTCTAGCGCCATCCCAGGTCAGCTGTAGCCATATGATCCCGTATATTGCTGCTTCCCTAGCTGTGCCGTTAGTTCTTGCATCGAGGCCTCTGTCTGCCAAGTGGAAATTAGCTACTGGATTACACAGTGTTGGCAAATTGACCATGAGATAGTGATGTGCATTAATAAACATTATGCCAGGGCAGAAAGTTCATCAGTTCAGTATCGCTTTAACATGATTTAAATGAAACCTGATTAAGCCAGATTATGAAAGCCTGTGAGAACATGCCCCACATTAGCTTTAGGCATGCATGTAGTGTTTTTACTAATTCCTCCAAACAAAACTTAAAGCTAAAAGTGTAAACAGAGCCTTAGTTTAGCTCTGCTCTAGTCATGCCATGCAAGTATTTTAACCAATTGATGATATATTTATAGCAAGAATGAAACCTTATAGTGCGGTATGGTATGTAATCCCGTAGGATTTTTTTGCCAAAATTGAATTTTTTGCTGTTTTGGCTTCAAAAGGGTCCCAATTGGCCAAAAATGATGGGGTTCAATTTTCAGACCCCTCCTTCACTTCCTGGGGGTCCATTTTGGGCGCCAAAATTGCATATATAAAGCGCAATAGGGAAATTTGGTGTCTTCCACCCTAAATTCATATATTTTTCGCCAATTTCACTGTGAAGTTTTTTGAGGTATATAAGGATTCATTTTTAATGATATTGTGTCATAAAACTTTTTCACTTTGACGTTATGGGGGCGCAATTTGCGAAAAATTGTGAAAAACTGGGAAATATTTCCTAAAAATGTGCCTTCTTCTTTCTTTTGGGCTAGAATTTTGAAATAAGAAGTGGAAATGGCATTATTGTGTACTATTATAGAGTGGAATAATTGTGAAACATATCACATGTCATTAACACTGTTATTTTAGGCTGTTAATATTAAAAATCAACCCTATTTTAGTATTCTATCAAATGAATAACTTACTTAAACACCAGATGGCGCCAAACACCTTCAGATGATAATATAACAAAATTCTCAAATATCAACTTCTAGGCACTGTAATTGCATCAGTCAATCAGAAAGTTGACCAATCATATATGATATATTTTTTTCAAATGCAGAATAATACGAAAATGTGCATTTTGTTTTGTTGATATGGTCCCCCCCCCCCCCCCCCCCCCCCCCCCCCGCCCCGAAGAAAAAAAAATAACAGAAACAAGTTGAGCTATTTTGGTCCGAAATACTTGTACATGACACAATCTTGATCTAAATCAAAGAATTATTTGGAAACATTTTTCCAGTTATAAACAAAACATAAAATAAAATCGGGAAAGGGGTAACCACCTACTTCGTGGTTACCATGACAACAGGAAAGTTCATCAGACTTCCAGTAAAAGTCAATCGCTGTCACTATCTGGAGCATCCTCCCTTGTCCGGTTTTCACAGTCTCCACCATAGCATTTACAGAGAGGAGTGCAGGGCAAATCGTTGTTGGAGCAGCTACACCGTCCCTTGCATCCTGCTTTGCAGCCACATTTGATGAGTTCAAGTACTGTACTGCCCGTGGTGCAGGGAGCCCAAGACACTTGACTGGAAGACATCCTCGATTATTTGAATACCATCTATTCTCTTCGATAGGAGGAAGCACTGGGTAGTTAGTCTTGTATGATTTATCTCTCATCGTGATGTAATTAGCACGGAGGATGTGAGGTAGTAATGCGGCACGAGTTGGAGGTAACATCTCACCTTCCAGGTTCTTTGATCGGAACAGTTCCCATCTGAGTGATGGTAGGGTTGTTGGACCTGATGAACAGTAAAAAACGACATGTGAAATGCTCTAGTTCCTTCACCTGTGTTGGAAGCTCTCCATTGCAAAGCTCAATTGGAATGGAACCCTCACCAGTTCTTTGAAGCAGATAATGGCAGGATCATCATCATCAAGCTTTAAGTAGGCATTGATCCATGTCTTCTTGGATATCCCAACAAACTTCCTCCCCAGTCAGCACCAGAAAAATTGTGAAGTCCAAGGAGGCCTTGACATTTTTGATGTCAATGACTTGAACCCGCTCCAGCACATCTATTTCTCATTTGTACCCTTGCCTGTAGAAAATTGTAGAGAAGTGGGCACTGCATTGTTTCCACAAGATACTAGATGAATTAAGAGAAGGAGGACATCAGTGTCAGGGGACCAGACAGTAATTTCTTGCAAGGCACCACTAGCAGTAGAGGCAAGGACTTGATTATGAATCAGGGTATCAGCCTCTTCATGTGTGTGCGCCTCCTCCAAATCATGTCCCTTGATGAAGGTATCATACACAACTACTAGCTTGAAAGGGCTGTCCGTGTTCTGTGAAAAGTTATCAAGCAGCCCCTGACCTAACAGGCACGTCAGCTTTTTCTTGGTTGACGATGAAGATAGAAGCTCCTTGATGGACATTGTGAGCTTCATTTCTGGGTGTATCTCGTATTCTACTGATGTAGTTGCCCTCTTTTGTCGAGTGTTGTTCTTTAATGACTCTTCCCTATATTGATCAAACACAACTCGACCTTCATCATAGCTAGCCATCATCCCTTCGATGCGCCTGTTGAATGCATTCTGCAGGTCTGACATATTTTGCATGGCAGCTAGTGTCTTTTTCATGCCTTGAAGTACACCCATGACGTCAATTATCAGCACCTTGACAGGAAGATCATGCAAGAGGTTAGGTTTTGGGCTGCTCCAGAAGGAACCTGCGTTATCTCATATTCTACGGTAACCGGAACCTCTTCCTGCATCATTTCAACCTGTGGGGAAGTTGAATATGATTATCCTCCACGACATCAGGCTGTTTAACAGCATCGGGAGGTTCTGCCTTTGCATCTTCAACTGCATGCATCAGACTTGCTTTGTCTGTTGGGATGTACAAAGAACCATCGACAGCACATAGTGAACGGGGAACCACTGACATTTCATATTCACCTTTTGTTTCTGCAAGTTTAGGAACTAAGCTTGGGCGGCTGCCTTGGATGATAAGGAATCTTCCCAGCAATTTACGTTCCTCCCGCAACTTGATGACCTTGTCTTCAACAGGCACTTTCCTTTTCTCCATCCATTTCGAAAAGGATTTCAGCTTCAGTTTCTTCATTTTGTCCCACACCGAGAGGGTTGATGATGAAAGCAAACGATCAGATACAAACTCCTCAAAGCGCTTCTGGCCCTTTTCTGCAAAGTGGAGAATGTCACTTTTCGCTTCATTTGACACAAGTGCCGATGAAACCAGACTCTTCAATTGTGTCTTCTCCTTGAAAGGATTGACTCCGCCGTGCAGCTCGATTAGGTGGCGTAGTTTCATAGCATTCTTCTTTGACCTCACTGCAATGTCTCCTGAGAGCTGATGATGCTCCTTCCTCACCGAAGCTCCAGTAGCTTTTGGGAAGTCATTGAGGTAATGATTTACCAGAGCAGCAAGGTGAGGTGTGGTAGTGACTAGTCGGTCCAGAGCGGCTTCATTTCTTGTGAGTCCAACCATCCCACCATTCCCCTTTAGTTTCTTGATTTCTTGCTCTAGAGCCTGATCAGTGAAGAGAAGAGAAAAGGGTATCTCTGACTTTGCCACCACAAAGTCTCCAGACTTGAGGGCATTCCATGTTTCTGGATCATCCTATTCTAGGGCATTCATTTGAGCGAGATGGACTGGCATCAGGCGAGCATAGTTCAGGAGATCACGAGCAAAAAGTACTTGGTGAGGCCTTCTAGTGATGACAAGTAGCCCTCCCAGTCCCCTGATCGACATGAACTAATGAGATGTAGAAGACTCTCCACCTGGTTAAGATACCGGGTCAAGAACTGGGCAAACTCGCCAAGGTCTTCAGCTTCTTCAAGCGGTTTGACATTGCTTGAGTACCAGGATTGGATTTCTTCATAGATCTCCACCATCTCCGGGTCATGTCCATGAAGTTTTTCTTTGAGAGAATTGCACTGGATGCGAATTGGACCCTTGGGAAGATCCGATAGTATGGCATCAAAACGCAACATCATGATTGCAAGGCTTGCAGTAATGTGGAATTCAAAGCCACGCTTGTAAGCTTTACCACCAAAGATCCTGCAAAAAGATGCTGAGGTGTACGCACCACATTCGATAGCACATGTGTCAAGACCGCTACCATCGATGGTTTTGCCAAGAACATGTAAGGCAGCGAAAGCAATGTGGAGAGCTCCAGCTCTTAAGATCCAGTTGGCGTTTCCCACCGACTGCTGAATCTTCAACGCTCGGGAGTAAAGATCGAGATCTAGCGTTATCAATGTCTTTCTGCGAGGGCCAACAACAGTCGCAGATATTCCCTGGGATAACCGAAGAACAGTATAGAGGGTCCCATAATCAGTTGGCGATGTCTTGAATAATGGGGCAACCACCGCTGTGTTTGTAGGCGTGCTAGCAGGAGAGGATTGAGACAACAATAAGGACCTAGTTGCAGCCCATGTTGGAAGAACATCATTCTTTGCTAGTTTATCTGATTTCTTCACCTGCTTTTTGATGATCACGACAGAGTTTGTTTCCTCTCTGTCCTTTGAAGACCCAGCTTCCTCCTTCTTGCTAGAAGGCTCATTTTCCTCATCATTTGTAGACTCTGCATCACTTGGCATCTCTTCACTGCGCTGGGCTTCTTCATCATGCAGCTGAGGTTCAGTTCGGATGATTTCTCTGTTGTCATCTGTTGTAAGGTAGTACACAAGAGCCCAGGTATGAGTGAATTCTTGAGAAATGAGATTTTGGTTCCTCTTCTTGTAGGCCTGAAATCTCAGTGGGCTAGTTCTGATGTCTGGCTCTGGAAGCACATTCATCTCAAATGCTAGAAGGCCTTGCGAAGAAAGTTTCTCGGGTATGACACGTGGTTGATTCACTGGCTCTCCATCTACAGCCTGTTGGTTGATTACCACTGTCCCGTGAAAGGTTCCTTGCCCTGTGGATGTGTCTTCCAAGAGATCAATGTTGTCAATGGCAAACCAGATGTTCACACCCTTCTTGACAAAATCAGGAAGACAAAACCCAAGAGAGGGATACTGCTCCTTTGTTAGTAACCGAAAATGCTTGAGCAGTCGTATTGTTAAAACAGCTGAATGTTCTCATCAAGATGCACATAATCAGAAGGCGGTGGATCTCATTGGATCAAAGAAAGAATAACGTTGAATGTCCTTCCGTAATAGGTCCATGATCTTATATATATATATATATATATATCAATGCATACAATGTTTACCAATTTGGGAATTTAACCATCTAAGTTGATTGATTGATCAAGAGTAATAAAGTTCTCTCTTGTTTTTGCAATTTATTTTCTTCTTCTCTAACCGATAATGAAGACCCACATCACATAAAATTTTAAAATCGAGATTTGCCATTGGCTATATGTTTATGCTTACCTTGGAAAATCAGGCAATATACTGCAAAAGAGGGTCTTTATTCTGTCAAACTTGCGAAGACCAAGGAACAAAACAACTTTTACCACAGAAGAGCTGGAAACAATGATCACAGTATGTAGGAATGTGTGCGCGCTGTGTGCGCGCGAGCGCACTTGCCTGTGAATGTTTGGGTGTGTGTGTGTGAGTATGTGCGTGTGGGAGGAAGGGTGTGCGTGTGTGCATGAGCGTGTGCGTGCGTGTGTGTGTGTGTGTGTGGGGGGGGGGGGGGGGGGGGGAGGTAGATGTGTATACATGAAGGTTGTCTGTATGTTTGTTTCTGTCTCTTTGTGTTTGGAAATGGGGTAGTAAATATATATGATAATGGTAATAAAAGTACTACACCTTAAAACAGCTGGCCGAACAATGGCAAAGGTACGCAAATTGGGCTGACGGGGGTGGGGTAGGGATGGGGATGGGTTGGTTGGAGGGTTTATCCAACTGAAAGTCTTCAAATTACCTTTCTCGGTGTTGAGGGATAACCACAGTTCTAGAAAACAACTCAAGTTTTGTGAAACCAGTCATTAGATGAATGACACACCCAATTTTAGGGGGTCTCATGATAGGAAACTACACCCCCCCCCCCCCCCAGAGAGGGGTTGAGGGTCGGGAAAATTTGAACCCCATCAATTTCTGATAGCTTGGACCCCAATCAATCCAAAAATGCCAAAAAATCAATTTTGGCACAAAAGTCCTACGGGAGCTGTTTCAGTGACATACCGTACCACACTATTAATTTCTGATGCAGATGATGATGTAAAAAGATAGTGTTTTTACTAATTCCTCCTAACGAAACGTAAAGCTTGCAAGTGTAAACAAAGACTTCATTTAGCTCTAGTCGTGAAATGAAAATATTTTAACCAATATTGATGATTTATGCATATCATGAATGAAACCAATTGATGATATTAGCTGCATTCACACTGCAAGCAAAAATCATCAATTTTTAATCTTCCTAAAATTGCAACCTCTGTAACGTTTCCACAGCATTTGTCAAACTTTAAAAAATGGCAAATCCACACAATTTATGTACAGTATATGATATCATGAATGAAACTGTCTTTCAGATGCAAATGATGACGTAGAAAAATATACTTTTTGCGATTTTCTCAATACAAAACATAAAGATTAGCAAAGCAAAGTAATGCATAGCAAAATAAGACAAAGGAAAACAAGACAAAGAAAAACAAAACAAAGCAAAACAAAGCACAGCAAAAC